TCCCAACTTCTAAGATCAAAAGTGTGCACCACCACACCCCACTCAGTACTACAAACTTTTTTAGTTTTTTTTTTTTTGTGTGTGCAGGGTTTCACCATGCAGCTTGGACTGATAGTGATCCTCTTGTTTCCAGCCTGCCTTGTTTCCACACATGCGATTATAGGTGTGTGCCACCATGCCTGGACTCTATTGCTGGTTCAGTGCAGCCGGGGGCAGTGCTGGGGCAGCATGTGGTACCAGGGATCAAACCCTGGCCCCTGAGCTTGCCTAAGCAGAGCACTTAGTCCACTGAGATAGCTTGCTGGCCCTTCAGTAGTATAAACTTTTATTAAAGGACTGGTTTAAAACTTTTACTTTATACAAGGCATATAAGAAAGCACAGCAGGCAGCACTGGGGACAGAGGCAGGAGGATCACTGCAAGTCTGAGCTCAGCCTGGGATACAAAAAGAGCTCAAGGCCAGCTGGCAATGCAGAGTGAAACCCTGTTTTCAGAATAAATAAATAAAACCAAGTGACCATGCATGCACAGGAGCATCTGTAGAAAGTGATGTAGTGATGTCGCTGATGCATTTCAGAAAGTGTGAACTTCTACCTACCCATCTTCCCAAACCTGGCCGAGTACCACATCTTACACTGTGCCAACAGCCAGTGCCCCAGTCAGCATAAGGCGCCTCACGCCGCAGGACCAGTCTTTCAGAGTCCTGCTGGTATGAACACATACCTCACATTGCAGGACCTCTCCACACCTCACCTCACCTCACCCCCGCATTTGAGGTCCTTTCAGTTCTCAGTAAACACCCGCTGAGTGAACCGCAGCCTGGAAGGGTGGTCAGAAGCAGAGTTCTGATGAGGAAACCTGAGGCTACAGGTGAAGAATGGCTTGAGACATTGGAATAATCTATTAAGACTTCTTCTCAAGCTCCAGCATGAGACAGATGAAATTGTGGTGCCCAGGAAATAACCTTTTAGAAATCCTATATTACTTCCTATTTTAGCCAATGTTTTGTTTTTGGTTTTTTGGGGGGCTTTTTTTCTGGAACTGGGGACTGAACTCAGGCCCTTGCGCTTGCCAGGGAAGTGCTTATTCCACTGAGCCATCTGCCCTGCCACCCAATGTTTTAATTACTATGAAATAAAAATTTCAAAAAAATTTTTATCATTACAGGTAGGGATGTGATTCAGTGTACAGCACCTGCCTAGCACATGCAAAGCCCTGTTTGACCCCCAGTGCTATTAAACAAAATACACATACACAAAAACAAATTTAAAAAAAACTTTATTATCAATTGTTTCTCAATAAAATTATGGAAAAAAACCTTTATTATCAAAAACTCTTCTCTAAGTTCAGGAACAAAAACAGTGGTTCAATTCCAGGCTGAAATTTTATTATGTAAAAAAAGAAGGTAACCTGGATTTTCAATTGAGTCATGCATCCTTATGAAATACTAACTAGAAAAACAATGCTTAACAGATTTAAAAGAGGATAAAGCATAAAAGTGTCTGCATATCATGAACTACAACTTTGTGTGTGGGGGGGATGTTGGCATGGAGGAAAATAAACAGGAAATACTACAAAATGTGGTGGGTTAAAAGGGAGAGACCACAAGCAGGGATTTTCTATTGCCTGTGGGTTCAGCATTCTATTTCCTCTCACAGCAACCCCATCATGAGCTGCTCGGGGCTCCTACTTTAAATTGTTATATATCATTTGCTAATTACTAGCTGCTTTCGTGTTTCAAAATGACACTTCAGAGGCAGAGAGGTGTAAGTGTGAGTCATAGCTCTGTCACTCTCGCAGGATGAACTTAAGTTACCAAAGTTCTGCAAACCTCAATTTTCGCATCTGAGTAAACCACCTTGATGGGATTAAACAGTAT